TATATATATATATATATATATATCATTAGAAAAACATTTATCCCATTGAATTAGGAAGTAATGTCCAATAGGAATTTAGGTTGGTGAAGGAACATGCGAATCTGTCAGAGCAACTCAATAGTCAACACGTGAAATGGACCATCGATATCTCCTTTAATTTTATCGCATAACATGAAAATCGATATCAGCCTTTCATTGTTTTTATATATGTTTTTTCTTACCACGAGTATCTCCTCCCTATTAGATTATAGATTAATTTCGCTGGTAAACATTCATGTAACAACGTACAAGAATTTTATGGTGACTGATGCCACATCCATTACCATCAGACTCACTAATATTGATGCTCCAAGAAAACCATGCCTCAAAACAAAAACACTGGTGCACTTGTATCAAGAAAAAACCATGCCAATCTAATATGAGTTTCAGGTGGGATGAGCCAAATTTGAGATCTGCATAAGTGTAAGACTTGCATCACCCCAAACGTGCCTTTAAGGCGTTGAGCATCATTCCAACATGATACTCTTTGGCTCGATCATGTCGAGCACAAAACTAGTGGCATTGAGTGTGAGGAGAGAAACTCATATTAGATTGGAATAGCGTTGGGTGTGAGGACATAGGGAGGTCTTTGATTTGGTGACACCACACCCAAATTTAAATGGCACCCAACATGGCCAAGCTATAGCTCTTTGTCTAGATGACGTTGGGCACTAGTATGGTGATGTCGAGCATGAGTTAGACAAAAACTCTTTGCTTGAAATAAGGTCGGGCATGACATTTTTTTATGCCAAGTGCAAGGTCCTAAGGTTCTCTACCTTATCCACACCGGGCGCAGGTTATGTAACGTTAGGCATAGGCAAGGCAAATAGTTCCTTGCCTAAATGGCGTTGGGCATTGGGTGTATGGTTTCAAGCGCCAATTTCTAAAGGAAAATATCTTGGTTTATTTGATGAATTGTTCAATTACTTGTTGAATAACTTGTGTGTTGACTAAGTAAGGATGAATAAGTTGCATGAATGGTGTTGTATATGTCAATTTCCTAGTGAGTTGTTAGTTGAAAGTTGAGATGTGTATTGTGAGTTATAGAGTTGTGTGATTGTGTTGAATATGTAAGAAGTTGTTGTGTAGTTGAGTTGTGATGACCAAACTAGGTCTATAGGAGAGGTTTTAAAAGTTGCATATCTCATTGTTTGAATATTGTGTTGTGGTGCTTTAAGAGCCCAATTTTATTGAAAATCCTTCTTGGAAAGTTGACCCTAGAAGTGGATAGCTATCTTGAATCTCCTCTAGGACTTATTTTGTATTGTATGTGGACAAGGTCGACACACACGTGTATAAAGCGATCACAATATAAGAGTCAGGTTGAGTTATATTGATTACAAGTGACCAACCGAGTAAAATATGAAATTGGAAACTTAGTTTCTAACTGAGTATCAAAAGGGTATAGTATTTGGAGGATAGTCGGTGGGTTAATTTCGTAGGAGGCTTAGTTAAGTTAGCTAATGTCATGGTAGACCAATACCTAGCTATTTTGTCCTAACAATAGTATTAGACTTCCTTATTTAAGTAGTGACATCCGAGAAACCAAGTTGTTATGTTGTGAATTTATATCTAATTTGTTGTTAATCTAATAAGCTAAAAAGATCAAATTGCGTTGTTGGTTTGGTAAGGTCAAGCCAGTTAAACTTCCCACCTTGTATTGTAAGAGATCTTCTAATTGAAATGTGTGACAATGCGTGCACTAGATGTGTTGAAAATATTGTGTAGTTATAATGAATAATCTAAGTTGTTAATATTATGATGTTCAAATTGATATTGTGTTGTAGTAGAATGAGTTGTTCATGATGATATATGTTGGCTATATTGTGATGTTGTATGTTGATAGTGTTGGAGATGATGAACATGTGATGATGTGTTATGTGTTCGCGTTTTATGTCATATATATATGTTATTTCTTTAAAACTCTAGTTTATCCTTATATTTTTTCATGTGGTTTGGATCGCAATAATTATACATGGTATTGGAGTAGGGCAAAGATAGGTATGAAGTGGTGTAATGGAGGTCGCTCAATTGTGCAAGAGCCAAATGTCTCTTTTGATGACTACATTTGGGTGGTTCTTATATAGATAGTAGTAATTGCTTGATTGACAACTTAGGTTATATAGTTTACATTTAAAATATTATTGTATCTATATTGCATATATTTAAATAG